CCACACACACACACAAATAAATAAATAAAAATTTAAAAAATAAAAATAAAAAAAGTAAAGAGGGGCAAAAGCAAGGCAAGGGAAATGCTTCCCTCTTTTCTTTTTCCTGAAATGGACAGCAGTCCCAACATCACCTCAAATGTCTCCTGTAAAAAAAGATGGTACATTATACTTTGAACAATTTATTTTCACTATACTGGCTTTTTTGAGATTTATAGTATAAATCATTCATTATCTTGATGATCAATACAGCATCACCAAGGAAAAGAGCAAGACGAGAACAACTGTCCCAATCTGTTGAAGCCTGAAAATGTAGCCTGCGATAGACACTTGTCTCATCCTCAGCTTGCTGCCTTTGCAGTGAACTGAGTCTTGGAGACACAAAGCAGGCTCCTGCAGAAGCTGGCGGGCTGGTGGCGCAGACGTGAGTCCACCCTCACCCACCCTCTCTGCTGCCCAGGGTCCGCAGGAAGCACAGCACTGTGCTGGAAGCACACATCTTCCTGCAGTTTTTCAAATACTCTCAAAACAACAAGGATGTTCAGGCAAATTTCCCGTGAAGAATTGAGGTGATGTTATTTTTTTCTTTCTTTTACATGAATTTTCAGCATTGTATGGACAAAGTTTTAGCACCCAGTGTAAGGTCAACCACATAGAAATTATCTAGTAAATATTCATTGAGTTCATAATTTCAGTCAAATGATATAACAGTTTTGAATCTTAATATCCTAAAGAATAAATAATAAAATAATAGTGTAACAATTGTTGGAAAACTGGAATCAAGAGTAAACTATGTTGGGTGTGATGGTCCATGCCTGTAAACCCATCATTTGGGTGGCTGAGGCACAAGACTCTTGGTTTTGGGAAGCTTGAACAACAGAGTGAGACTCAGAATAAAATAAAATAAAATAAGTTCTATCCTAGCATGGTGGCATATGGCTGTAATCACAATGTTCTAGGAAGCTGAGGCAGGAAGATCAAAAGTTCAAGCCCACCCTGGGCAATTTAGTAATTTAGTGAGATATTGTCTCAAAATAAAAGATAGACAAGGGTAGGGAACATAATCCAGTATGAAGGTCCTGGGCCCATCCTAAGTATCACCAAAACAGAAAAGAAGAAGAAAAAAGGAAAAAAAAAAGTGTCAAAATTCCAGAAACCAGATGCTAACTAAACAAACTCAGTGCATCTTTTCTTTTTTCATTTTTCTTTTTACAAAGCAAGGAATCAAAACACATTCCCTAGGTCCATTTCCCTGTTCTTACCTTCCCGGATAGCGGTAAATGGGACTCCTTCCTCTGCGTTCATGCTGATGACTTTTAAAGCCACCAGCTGCCCATTGATCCTAGAGAGGGATGGAGGATATGACACACATTTATGGAGACAGTTCCAGGCAGCAATTTTTACTAATGATGATTTTTTTTTTATAAAAGTAGTTTTCCTTCAAAAAATATGTTTCAGCATATGGATCTATAATTGTCCACCTTCCTCCTACTGCTTTGCTGTCCGCTGCACCTCTTAGTTCTTCCTGTGACTTTTGAGGTATCCACACTCTCCCTCGGCTTCTCACTGATACTCCCCCAGCCTGAATACTTACTCTTTCTGTCTCTTTTTAACAGAGTAGCTGGGGGGGGGGGATCCTTATCAAAGGGAAGTCAAAAATGGTCATTTTATTTCTTTTACTTTATTTTATTTTATTTTTTTGCAGTCCTGGGGATTAAACTCAGGACCCTGTGCTTGCCAGGCAAGTGCTTACTCTACTGCGCTATCTCCCGGGTCCTGCATTTCAAAATGCACTGTATTTCTAAGTCTGACGCAGAATAACAACCAGATGCTCCTACTGCTTCCCACTGCAGCTGCCTGGGCCACTCAGCTGCACCAGGATCTCTCCACTCTTTTCTTACTCATAGGTCTTGTTCATGATGAAGGGTAAGTACTGAGAACAGAGAAGGCTTTCGTACAGAGGTAAATGTGCTATCTTAACAGTGTCAGGGGCTGGGGAGATTGCTCAGTTGAATAAGTGCTTGCCTGGCAAGTGCAAGGGTCAGAGTTCTAATCCCCAGCTCCGAAAAAAAAAAAAATGGCATTCCTATAATATTAGTTAGTAGTCATCTATTCTTTCTCATTAAAAATTTAAAAAAAATTTTATCATTCATTCTTGTACAATGGGATATTTAATGATATCATATCCCATCATATGCTACAATGCGGTTTGACCATTCCAAATGCTTATAAAGTGTTTCTAGCTTTTAGCTACTATAGAAATATTGCTATGGGGCCAAAGGGTATAGCTCAATGGCACAGAACCTGCCTGGAAAGTACAAGGTTCTGAGTTCTATTCCCAGTGCCAAAAAAAAAAAAAATATGTTGTTATGACCATATTTGCAGATAAATATTTTCACACAATCCCCATCATTGTTTCCTTAGGGAAGATGTGCAATTGTTAAGTCAAACAGTATGCACCTCATATGGACTTGAACTGATGCTCCCAAA